TGATTCTGCTTCCATTGCTCATTCACTTTTCGTCACGTTGTCTGCATGAATTACTTTGGACGAGTCAGTCTGTAATGCAGTAGGAATTCATGAATTAACTCATTAATAGTTGTTTTTTGATTTAAGTTTGTGTCTTAACAAGCAATGGAAATTTCTTCAGTGTCTAACCCTTGTAGTATTTCGTCTATATATCTGGTATTAGCAAGAGAAATTGGTAAGCACCATTTAGATATTACTCGACAATATGCATCATAACTTTGTTCACATTTTCTTCTGCGATTGTGCATTTCCTTTACAGAGAATTATTCGTCAACCCTCTAACAGACACATCATAAGTCAGTATTAAGTAAGACATGGTTTCGTCACCATGCTCAGAAGAGACACCCATCGATGTACTTATGAAGATTTCGTGCATATTTTATGTGGTGTTACACACTATTTCTGTATAAGTTCAGAAAACCGGTAAAAAAGACTATCAACGTCTATTGTTACTCACATAATTTTTCTCTGATACCTTACACAGTAATATGTCACTTCAGTACAAAACAATGCTACCTATAGTCCAAATAACCTTTTATGGCTAAATACAAACAATTTATATAATATTCATAGTTACTTTAACGCTTACTTCTTTCTAATTTCATTTTATAAACGACTACCAACATCTGTGTTTGCCGTCACCATAATCAAGGAGGTGAACCATATATAATTCTTTTTACGGCTTATTTTCATGAAAACTCAATCTGTAATCTATTTTTGACTAGAAAAATGGTGATTTGACTTCTTTGACTTAGTATTGTTAAAAAATAACCATATTACGCCAGCTACATATTTACTTAGGTGGTGAGCACGAAATACGTCAAACTGCTTATAAATTGAAACAAAAACTATCTTCCAATCACAAAGATTACGAAAAGTCATGTATGACGGAAAAAAGGCTGTTAATAGCTGATAAATAACGACACATAAAATCCACGACAATACGTTACACGTGCGCGAAAACCCGTAAACTAACAAGCATACTGTGCCGAAAATTCAAGACACTTTAGAAATCCAGCGTATCAAAGATAGAATTTCAATACTGTTGTTTACAGATTGTCAAGATCTGGAGAACAATGAGCAGTGAGGCTGATCAACTTGATGTCCAAGGTGATTTTTAAAAACTAGTTAGGGGATCATGAAGTTGGGAATTAGGGATCTATTCTAGAATCAGTTCGATAACAGACATTGAACAGAACAATGATCACCAGCATACTGTTAGTGATGCACCGATTTCATGCTTGCAGGAACAGGAAAACCTGAACATAATGGTGAGCGATGAGTAGAAAACAACTGTAAGTTGTAGTACAACAGCTGAGAAGGGTTTCTTAGTGTTATAATTTCGTCAAGCATTCAGATACCTTGACGGTGATGTGCTGCCATTTTCATACATCACATATTTGAGACCTCACTTAGAATATTACAACTAATCAGCTAGTCCATATCTACAATGTAAAATCCTAAATTCGAAAGACTCTATCAATCTGTGCCTTTGTTTTTCTCATTGGTTCCTTTTCTAGTTCAGCTGTATCAAAAAGACGATAACGCTGATGCGTCCAACCTACATGAAGGTACAGAAGAGGTAACTTGAGAGAGGTTATAGGACTAAGAACTTTCGACGATGGCCTATTCAAACAACGTTTCTTGTCCAAACTTCTACAACAGCTACAGGCGGTTCTGATCTCGTTTCAGAACGACGCCTTAGACGAACTGGCTGCATCTGCCGATCGTATCTTAGAAATTACGAAATCTTCTACCGAGGTCTTTTCAGTCAAAGAAAAGCCGCAAACGACTCAGATTGACATAACCGAGTTATGTCGATAAATCGAAGACTGATCACACTGACAGATCAGTTATTTTTCATAGAATCGGGGAGCGTGAAAGCTCTGAGCCAAAAACTCGTTTTGAGCATGACATTGTGTTGATGAAACAGCTACTTAATCAGCTCATGCCTCAAAATATCCCCGGAGTCACCTTGCTAAAGTTTATCCATGGATTTTTGGCCGTGGTTGGCTTCAAAACATAAAAAAATTATGTTAATATCTTCAAATAATGTCAGACGCTTTTGGTATAAAAATTACTTACTTACGTCTGTTACTCCTAATGTAGCATAGGCCGCAGACCACCATTCTTCAACCCACTTTCTCCTGGGCCTTCTCTTCTAGTTCCAAATCTCCTCCATCAATTGTGATTGGATTGGTGCATGCTGTGTTGTATCGGAGAATCTAGCTTTTCTCTTTGTGTATGTTGAGACCTACTGCTGCTGAGGCTGCTGCCACACTGTTCGTCTTCTCCCGCGTTTGTTGTTGCATTTAGGATAGAAGGGCTAGATCATCTGCGAAGTCTATACCGTCCAACTGCATCCTAGATGTCAACTGTATCCCACATTTCCCTTCAGATGTTGACATCTTCATGATTCAGTCGATCACCAGGAGAAAGAGAAAGTATGAGAGTTTCGTGCCTATAGGTAACCCTCGTGGTATTGATAGAAGAAACCAGGGAAATAGTGAATAGGTCTTTATTTCGATCTTCGCGCAGTCACAGTGGAGCGTGGGATTATCTGTTCAGACAAACAAAGGCTTTCAGCATTCAATATAAGATAATAAGGAATATAACGCTTATACAAAATAAAGGAGTGAATGAATACTTGAACAATACTGTTTTGGCATATGCTTGGTTGTTTGGGGTCAACTCTTAACCAACCAACCTATGCTGTTACAAGAGTAAGCAGCGTTGCCTTACAACGGTCTTTATTTCGAACGACTTTTTCAGCTGTCCTCCATGCAGGATTTTGCACTTTAATCCGTCATATGAATTCTGTATGATATTCGCTATCTTCTGAGGCACGCAATAGTGTCGAAGAACCTTCCATATGAAGTTTGTCAATTCAATGAAGCAATTTGAAATATTCTAATAAATATTATTTCTGTCGTTCCACTGTATCCCTTGCATCCCCTCAGATGTTGACGTCTTTATGGTCCAGCCATAGTATCGAAGACGCCTCGACAGTGTTGTCCTGTCCACGCTATCAAACGCTTTCTCGTAGTCATTGAAGTTGATGTAGAGTGATGAATTTCATTCAATTGGTTGTTCCACAATCATCCGTAGTCTTGCAATTCGGTCTGTACACGATCGATCCTTGCGGAATCCAGCCTGTTGGTCTCGAAGTTGGGCGTCTACGAAGTTGTTCATTCTGTTTAACAGTACCCTGTTGAAGACTTTCCCCGGTTTTAAGAGAAGAGTGATGCCCCTGTAGTTATCACACTTGCTGAGATCGCCTTTCTTCGGTATTTTGATCAGAAGTCCTTCTTCCCAGTCTGTTGGTACTTGTTTCTCATCCCAAATCTAGCTGAAGGGAATGCGGAGTATCCTTGCAGTTACCGCTACGTCTGGAATGTTGTCTGGTCCTGCTGCTTTGTCACTCTTGATTTGTCTGATGACCATGCTGATTTCTTCAACTGTTGGTGGGCATACAAATCCCCTCACACACACTGGATAGCGTGACCATTAAAGAACTGGATGTCTTTGGTCTGCTAAAAAAGCTTGACATAGGTAAATCTACGGGGCCCGATGAATTGGATCCCAGGCTACTGAAGAAATTATCTAACTTCGTTGCGAATTCTTTAAATATATGCTTCAATCTATCCGTAACCCAGGGTCATTTACCAAAAGACTGGGAGAACGCCATAGTAAGTCCTGTCTTCAAAACAGGTACCAAACATAAACCTGAGGACTACCAACCTGCCAGCCTAACTAGTGTGGTTGTTAAAACTTTAGAAAGGATTATTCGGAAGGAACTCTTTAAGTATTTCGATGAAAACCGGATCCTTTAGGAAAAGCAACATGGCTTTAGAATACATTATTCTTGCCTCACTGACCTATAAGTGTATCGTGAAAGCTGGTGCGCTCTCAGGGACCAAAGGTTACCTGTAAATGCAGCCTACATTGGTTTCAGCAAAGCCTTTGACAAAGTTTTGCACAACCGGCTGTTATATAAGCTAAGAAATGTCGGTGATGGAGGTAGTCTATTGATGTGGATAAAAGACTTCCTAGTTGGGCGCCAACAAATAGTATGGGTGAACTCCAGCTTGTCCAGCTGGTAAACTGTTGTTAGTGGAGTGCCCCAGGGTGCATTTTTGGGGCCAGTGCTATTCCTCTTGTATGTAAATTACTTTCTTCGTCTCCTATCATCATCGGTCTAGCTATATGCTGACGATTTCAAGATATGGGGATCGATATGAAATAGGGGTGATAGCTTAGAACTCCAAAAGGACCTAGAGAAATTACCTGCATGGTCTCGAACCTTGCAGCCACCGACAAATATTTCCAAGTGTTTTGTGATGCATATCGGTCATCAGGGTACAGATAAATACACGATGAATAACACTGAGTAACCTGTTGTCCAGACACATAATGACTTAGGAGTCATCGTTAGCTAAGACTTAAAGACCAATGCACACTGCCGTGCAATAGCCTCCAAAGGTTTTAGAACTTTATGGTCAATACGTAGGGCCTTTAGTCATATCGACGCTAAAACGTTTTTGACTTTGTATACAGTGTTCGTGAGTCCTACACTTGAGTACTGCATACAAGCAGATAGCCCCTGCTTAAAAAAGAAAGTGAGTATTTGAAAGAGGCTCAGTGAACAGCAACTAAGCTGATTACCGGAATAGCGAAGCCCCTGTATGATGCTCGACTGGACAAGCTAAACCTATTCCCGTTGTCATATTGAAGAACTAGGAGTGACTTGATCACAGTTTTCAAATTGCTGAGTGATAAATTAGCACCTGACATGCCCTCACTTTTCTTGTCTTTCAAAACAGAGAATTTACGAGGACACTCGAAAAAGTTCACAAGCACTGAAGCACTACAGGAAAACAAGTGCCAAGGATTAGCACAGTTCATCCGACCTTCAATCTTTGAAATTGAAGACAACAGGTATTGGATATTGTACATACTACGCACTTGTTTGAGACCTAGGCGTATGTGTTGTTTGTTTACAACTATGAGTAATAAGATGTCTGTATACATTATATTGCTCTAATACCTTGCGTTAATTAAGAATGAGGACATTATATCACCCATTGAAGTTTCAAAAACTTTTAAAATCGAACTGTCACGTATAGTCCGAAAATTCGTCGATGGTTGGACTGTAAATTTCGGTTTTATCGAAAATGCCAATTGTTCTGAACATTTTTTTAATTTCGCTCAAAATTTCTATAGGACTGAGACCTTTCAAAATGTCGAGTCAAAAAATTCACAGGATTGGCAGTTTAAGCTAACTTAAACTGACAATCAGCTTAAAGCTACCAATTGAGACAATTGGTAGTCCCAGTGTAATTATAACAAAGCTCTTCGTTTTGTTAGCAGTGAGGCTTCAATTTCTGGAAGATATGTGTCTGACCTTTTTTGGAACTAAAGTTTTACTATGGATATGATTTTTTCACGAAAACTATGTTACTATATTGTATAGTGTCGTACGACACTGAATTCTGAATTAAGTAATTCAGTATTCATTACAAATTCTATGTTCACTGTTCGGGGCTTAAATATAAAGCTTTTGGTTTTGTCAATTATTTTGTTTCTGGGCTTTGGTTCAGTTAGAAAATAAGTTGTAGACTTATCTTTACAGTTAGCAGTACGACATCCCCTTGAGACCATATGTTTGCTGCTTTTAGTTGTACCCTTTTTCAGCCGACCTGTATGGCATGGTAGGACCTTGAGGAATGGTTGCTCCAGTTTGTGGAGCTCGATTGGCTCATCACGATAGGCCAGCTTGACCACCACATCAAGGTAGCAGCAACGGTCGGGTTGTTTATATACTTGGATATTATTTGTGCTCAGTCTGTTGTGGACTATATTGATCGCTTTTCCCTTCTAAATATGACAAGTCTCTGGCGATCCTCGTAACCTCCATACTTTAAGGAGCATGTAATTGTTGTTTTGTGGTCTCGATTTCAAAAGTTAACAAATTATGTAAACATACAACCCTAATGCTATATTTAACATCCGTTTACTTATAATAACTTATAATGTTAGATTTTGTCTATTATATATTCACTGGTTTTATTTTTATTTAAGAATGAAACTATCCGTATTAAATCGTTCAAACAAACATGCCCTTAACGAGTATAACTAGACCAACCATTGATTTATGTCCCTTTGACTCCACGAGTTTAAGAAATCGAGTTGTATCATTAGCGTTTAGCATGTTAGTTGGCTCAGTTCAATGGGTAGTCATGTATATCATAACTTTATTTTATCTACATAGTTCAGTTCGGTTTTATTCTGTGGTGTTATTTGATTACTTATTAAAAGTGATAGAGTTCGATTAAAACGAATATGACTCCAAACCACCAAATAAACACATGTGACTGATGAAATGCGGCTGGCAACGTAATCTAGAATGTGCGTTTCGTTCTATTTGGGACTTAGTCAGAGATATCTGCACCACAGAGTTGGTGTTCACTCCGGGATTTCAGGCTTTATTTACCTTCCATATTAATCGCATCATGTGATATTCAGTAGCTTAATTTGAAAGTTATTTTCCAGACTTTCCTCTATTGTACATAACGCAGTTTAAATATGACTTTCCATTTTGTAATTATCAGGTACCATGAATGCAATTAACCCTAACAACTCTAATAACCTAACCTCTGGCTTTGGTCATTCAAATGATATGAATTTTGTGAAAAGTAGTGAGAACCGTTTAGGTGATTCCAATAGTTTATCGTCTGTTGAATTAGCTCAATTACCAATGAACTCAATGTATACAAACGGCTCAACTGCAGAAACCGATGTTTTGAAAGCGAATTATGGGATTCCTGCTGATGAGTGTTGGTTGTTCAAACCACCGAAGCAACACCAAACTCAAGGTTCTGTTGAACCCATAAGAACATGGTTACGTGCTATATTTGATTCGCCAGATTCCTGCTTTTTCCATTCGCGTCGAAATCTCCTCTCCCGCCTTGAAGCGATCATTTTGGCTGGGGGACAAACTGAAGCATATCAGTTTGGTGGCAGTGTCCCATCTCTGAATCTTATTACTTCAGGATATCCACCGCGTCCGAATACAGGTCTTACAGAACATCCTGTTTATGGATCTGTCGTATCCAATCGTCTGGTAACCGCTAGTTCATCAGACAGTATTTCGTTTCCTAGTCAACAGACAGTAACTAATCCTACATTGAACAGTGAGCATGTTAACATGAACACTTTCACACGTTCTCACAAACCAAGAATAAGTTTACCACCTCAGTGCAGTGCAAGTAAATCAGTAAAAAATGTTTCTCATAATCCTAATTCATACTTGTCTAACTCTACTGGAGCGAACTTTTCTTTCAAACCACCTAACAAGACTGGGTCATGTGATGAGCTAGAAACTACATCTGCAAACACCAATGTACAGGAGATTGCTAGACGACAAGAAGACACATTAAAAGCAGAAGTTGCAGCTCTAGCAGCGGCAGCTGCTGCTGCCGGCAAACATGGTAGTCAGCATTCTCTTGCTTCTTTGTGTAGGAATAGCCCTCATGGGAGCTACACAAACATCGCTAGTGCTCCAGAAAGTCCTCACTCAAGCACAACAAAGCTAAACCAACCTCAGCAAAATCACGACCATTTCTATGTAAAACAATCTCTGTCGTTTTCTCAAGAGTTTGAAGGGCAAATTACAAACCAGCAACCAACACAAGATACTCATCTTGTTAATTATTCGTCTCATAGTCCTACTAGAAAAGACGTGCTGTCCAACATTCCTGCTCACGCTTCTAATGTGGCAAACATAAAACAAAACCCTTACAAAATTTTGCCTCAAAAGCCTTTGCTCACAAATATTGTTCCAGAAATGGGGGATGAATCTAGACAATCTCAAAAAATTTCAGTTTCAACACATCCATCATTATATCCTCTTGCGGTGAATGCCACCGGAAACATGTACATGCCTTCGGCAGAACCTCGCAGTCATTTTGGTTTTCGGCCACTACAACAAATCTCTACTGGTCCATTCAATAAAACTGTTAATTTAGGATCAAGACGTACATCTGATGATCAACTTTTATCCTCCGGAAACCCAAACCAATAATTTTTCAATCCGCTTTAGTCGAGTTCTAGTCTTTCTAGTTTGTTGTTACTTAGACATCAATTCTTCTCAGAATCAAATGGCTAATATAACATTATGTTCATTATTAGTTAATCATTATAATACTTATCCCTTATGTTTCAAATGCTAATTGTCACTGGCTTTTTTGCAAAGACTCCGCATTGTTCAGAAAAGGCTCTCCATTGGGCTTTTAGCTTTTTATTTATATTTTGTCAGCTTGCATTTCTCAGCCCTAGTGATTATGTTTTTGAAAAATTAATAGCATTTAATCATCTGATTATCTATATACATATACAATCCGCTCACTTATAACAAGGTGCACTTCAAAAGCATAATGCATTGGTTATGACCATTTCTGAATTTATTTCACAAAGTGTAATTTGACAATGTTTTTATTTTGGCATTTTGGTAACCTGGTAAACACTTATTATTTGAACTAATATTTATTTTTTAATTTCTCTATACAAAAAGCTTTACTTGCATAACTTTAATTTGTACAATTCAATTTTCATTCAATTTAAGTTTTAACTTATTTACTTGTAATTTATCTTGTAGTGGGTTTTTACCAATGATGGATTCCGATATACCAGGTAAGCTTTATTTGAAAAAATTCATAAGTTTACTTATACCGCTGCGTTCTCACTGACTTACACCAATGTATTTATAGATTGATGGTTTCCGATACACATTTTTACGAAGTCCTGTGTTGATGATAACTGAATGAGTTTATTGATTTTTGTAAGTATTACTAATTTAAAAATAATTTTCATCCATCTGTCACGAATCAAGCGTAATAAACTTATTTTTTTTAAATATGATTGATTAGAAGCCAAACAACACTTGTTTTTTAATCTCACATATCATCAAGTTCTATTCATACACTGGGTATTTCATCTCTAACTATCTGGAACCAGGATTTCCTCACCACTAAATACGATAGTCGAGGTGTTAATCTCTCAAGAATGTTGTTATGTCCTTCACTCGTCTTTTTAATCAATCGCTATCCAAGTCGTTACTTTATTTTAATATTTTCCGTCTTGTTGAATTTTTGTCAAGTTGATATAAAGTTTCAAATTTGTAGCACTTCTAGCGATGTTAACGGGTTTATAGATATTTGTATGTTCAACTTCGTACTCTCACTACAGAAATATAGACATGTAAATTTTAGTACTTCTAAAGGTTGTAGTATATAGCAACATAACAGTATAGCTGTTCCTTGACTAAATTTGTTACTTGAACACTTCATATTCTCCAGTTTAATGTGTAAAAGTTTTATCTACCCGATTGTTGATATTCTTGCTTGAACGTATATCCAAGAGACGCGTCTTGAATAAAACAAAACTCACTTTATGGATTCTACTGGTAAACACATTTCATCTATTCTATAGGAACTTATTCCTGTTTTATTCGTATAGTTTGTTCCGTAGTGCTACTTATGCTTTTCTTTTCAGAATTCAAAGATAAGCAAACTGCTGTTGAGGATACATATCGACAAATGCGAAAACTATGTGAGAATTACAAATTGTTCTCGAAACTGGATGACTTGGATGAACTATATTCGACTAGCCTAAATTTAAGTTATATCCAAGATGATTATGAAACTATAAAACATGAATTATCAGTCATTAAAGCTAATCGTCAAATTGCTCGAGACGCACTTTTAGCTGCCGGATTTCAATGTCCCGATGATCCACCAACATAGTTTGTTAGTTTTTGAGTCTCGATTTCTTTTTTAATTTTAGAATATTTTTGTATTTTAATTTTTATTGCTTTATATGGTATATAGCTAGAAGATTGACTTTTGTTAGGAACTATAAAGATTAATTCGTTTTGACTCAGTATATATATATATATATATATATATATATATATATATATATATATATATATATATATATATATATATATATCAGATTTTCCATAAAACTATTACCCAAGTTTTTTGTATGGCGACTGATGTTACCACTGAGTTATCTAAATTGAACTAGGTTCACTACTGTGAATTACTGGTTGATAAAGTATTTGTATACATGTTCCCTTATTCTGTTGACCATAATGTTCTAAATATTCTTAAATCATAAACCAACATCTATAACTATTAGCCAAGTAAGGTTTTCTGTTCACTATCCACTTGAAAAATAATAAACTTTAATTAATTTGCTAAATGTTGTGGAAGTCCAAGTCTACCGCTTGACTAAGGTTACTTTCGCCTAGGGTTAACGATTAATAAATATTTCTCATCGGGATTATTTATTAAATAAGAGTTCATTTTCCAAGCTATACAATCTCAAATATATATACGTATTTTTCAAGGTAATAGTAATTGCAATAATACTGATAATGAAATTCTGTTAAACATAGTAACAGTCAGATAGAATAAACAGAGGTATTAAAACAATTTTTTAATAAGGGAAAGTAGTAATAAATTCAATTAGTATTGTTTACTTGAATCTTCCCATTGATAAATAAAATTATCGTTGGGAAAGGATTACTGAGCATGATAAGATAAAATGTTAAAATTAAGATGAAATGTAGTCAGGCGAATCATAAGAACAGAAATGAACCAGTTGGGGGGTAGAAGGTCTATGAAGATGGAACGGGGAACGGAAAACTATAAAGGAAGAAAAGTATGAAGAAGGATGAAAATCATGAGACATTAGGACCATATTAGAAGAAGAGGTTGTACAAATTTCTTCCGGACACACAATTATGGCTTCCCTAGATGTATAGCTGTTGCTTAGGCAGTGTTCAGAAAATGCTATATAACTGCCTCGGGAACCTTCTACTTACTTTGGACGCAGAGTTCGCTTTGATTGAGTGACCTGTGTTCACAAGGTTTTTCGGTTTTTGAGCCGTTTCCTCCTCTTTCTAGCCAAGACGAGTAATGTTCTTGAATTCCTTTGAACAAAGTGAGAAAACGCATTTTTATACATTCTTCATGATACTACTGAATCCACTGAATACATAAAAGCGAATGGAAATGACAAGACTGTCCTCTCTCCTTATGTCGAACCACAATTCCCTAATTCTCATAAATAACAGGGATTTTATTAACTGTGCAAATATTTGGTATTTCTTTTAAGGATTCATATGAACAGCTTAGAGATTTATCAAATAGGATTCGAAACTGTAATGTTTACTAGATTTCCTCCTGTTTAATTTCTTCTATATATGGTAAATAAATGTATATGACGTTTACTTTGAAGAAAACAAACTCTATTCTAGTTGTGTTTTAAAATTCTGGTGTTAATCTAGACGAATAGTTGTGTTCTTTTCATATTTTCGTGTTTATACACATCAATGATCCTAAACATAATCTGTGCGACATTTTAATAATCCCCTTACTGATGTGTTTTTTTCACTCACTATAAGGTATAAGTCAGTTTTCTAAACTATATGTCAATCACAGAATTTCACTTATTTTTTCTTTTTCATTTCAGCTCTTAATCATCTATCTACACCGTGAGTACCAGAACTCAAACTTTGGCATCACCATAAAGTGTGTAATTCTTTTTTGTTTTACTGAAAATTGATTTCTAGTTTACTCTATTATATATTTACATTACTTCAACTTGATCATAGTTTTATTTGTTAACTAATTTATTGTTAGGAAAAATCGTAATTTACAGTTTATTTGGTTTTTTGAATTATTTATTTATCCCTCTTTTTTTGTAGCGTTTGATCTGTTTCAATTTAATATTTCTAACACTGTAAATAGTATGAATATGTTCACTTGAAGTTGCCTAAAATAGCTTTTCTCGCATTCTCATAGAAACACGTGTATTTATTGGCTTTTGTTCATGAATTACTATTATTATTACTACCTCTTCATATGTGTTTCCATGGTCATAAATTACTTCAATGAGAAATTGTTTTTTTTGTGGTTCTTTGTGTTTACTGCTGTTCGATAATTTTTGGTGGATCATATTTTTCATCTGTTATAGGATAGCAGAATAATGGTCAGCAAGATTACTAGAATATCCAAATAACTAAGTCGTAAACTATAGGTAATTCAGTAAGGTTACAAGTTAAGACACAAATTAAACTCATTTTTTGGAATATCCTTATTTTGGAATGTAACAAATATAGTTGATAAAGTTTACCTGTAATTAACTGGTAAGAGAATAAGTGTAAAGTTGAAACTCCTATCTTGTTTCAAGATTTATCATAGATATTAGCTTTTAACTGAGCATGAACTACTGCATACATTCTTATAATAATGAGATACAGTTTAGGTAACGAGTCCAATCATTGTAGATTTTTTTTGACCTAGATGAAATGTAGTATTTAAAAAAATTATAACATTAGCTCATGTCTTATGACTTTTTTCTCAGAAAATAAAAATGTCAGTGGTTTTCTGTTAAAGGTAATTAATATTTTTTTCAACGATATCGGGGAATGTTATATTTTGTATGACTTTCAGTCTCATGTCAGGGATACTACCCCTAACTCAGGGTCTGAAAAGTCGAAAAAATGAAAATTTCGCAAATGCGATAAAATGATCTTGGTGGTCTAGTTATAGTATTTCGACATCAGACAATGGGTTTTAAGCGTTATTTAAGCCCTAACGCTTCTGGCTGGGCTATTTCGCTTACTACCCTATACATGTGTTGTATGCAGTATAAGCTATATGGCTATATAGAGCTGAAGGTCTCATATGAGGCTAGAGGTTCGCCATTGTTATTGTGGACAATTCGGCATTGCTTTGGCAAGTTTTGCTGACTTCATACAAAAATTGGTTTGCTGGTTAACTGATTTCATTCATACTGGTGGTTGCTTTTCAGTGTTCCCGAAGGCCATTGTCATTGGGACATTGTTAGGCATGCCGCCATTGCTAACATTAATGAGTTTGACTGTCGTGTAAGCGGAATAGGTCAAGTTCGGCCTGTTCGTGCTGTGCATAATTGATTCACGCGATCATTGATCGGAATAACTATACATGTGATGTTAATGTGTATATGAATGGTGCGAATGGTCCACCAGGGTTCTTGGTACCTGTGTGGTTGCGCCACAGGATTGAGCTGTACTATTCAGATTGTAGCGTTAAAGCCTGTACGGTGTCTGGTTCCCCTGCTAAACGGGATTGAGCTGTACTGTTTGGGTTTTTACGTGAAGGTCCGGATGGTGTCTGGTTCTCCTGAAAACCAATGTAAAATTACCTTGGCCCACAAGGGTATATTATATACTTTTATATTACTATTCAGCCTCATGTCTGATAAAAAGCTTAGTAGAATGTAAAATAAATACAAAAAATCTATATGTTGATAACTGATGATTTTAATTCCAATGTGTACATGATTAATTTAGACTCTTAGCTAGCTGACTTAAAACCATCCAAAGTGTAGCTCAGAAAAAACTGATATTGCTATAATCCAAAGTTAGTTACAGTTTCTAATAAACCGAGTTTATAGTTAAAATCGTACGTGAGATTATAATAATGTTTCAACGTAATTTTTAGTCGATCAACATAGAGTTCTAAAAGTATGCATAGAATACTTCAATTCTACTATATATATTCAAGCGTCATACTTCTGCTGCAGATACCGTGGCGTGTTGTATACGTGAAGTATTAACGTTATGATCACAGCGCTCTTCTTTCAACCAATGAGATGTATGTTCGAATCCCGTTTCACTTTCATCGGTTTAGATTACTAGGTAATATCACTAACGCGTATGTTAACAGTTTGGTTCAAAATCAGGTAAATTACAGAAGCATTATTAAAAGTTGTTTTCACCTGGTATAGTGCGAAAGATAGAAAGCTGATATGGCTCAGAATCGATCATAATGGCTTAGGTGTGTATACTCTTTGTCTTCTCTTAAATCGTGAGATTATAATTACTTTATACCTTTATTTATGCGAAATAGTTCCTGTATTATATCCTTATGCACAATCTTTTATATATTGCTATCATTGAAGTAACTACTATGAATTCGGTGTTCATCTTGTGTTAATGAGGTATGGCAACTTTGACCGATGCATATATGTGCGTGGTCATACGTTGCAGCTGACTGACATGTATCACGCTTTGTTTCTCTTTAAAGACATGCACATAATCTCTGATAGTCTAACTCTATGATTTTTATGGTGTATTCTGAGTACAGTGTCCTTTAACCCCTATCAAAGCTCTATTAATTTTTAACATCAGTCGTAGAATGGTACTCTTGATTCACCATCAAAAACTTAATTATGAGTCCCTTCAGTCACGAATTAAGAATCAGGTTAAAAAAATAAACTTTTTCTAGCACTTTTCATCTGTAAGGATGTTTTGGAATCAGATGCCTCATCAACTACTCAACGGTATGTTATGTCGTCTATATGATTGTTGTGATACTCGTTTCGAAGTTAAAATGTATATCCCAAAAAGCATCTATACTGTCAATAAAGTGCATAGAGCTTAAAATCCTATTTTATTTATTCTCTGCGAAATATATATTTTGAAATATTCATATCACCCGTTGATTCTATTGGGAATCATTATTCAAAATAGAATTCTCACTATTAATTCTATATAATCATTAATTTGATTAAAATTTTTCACTAAAATCATAACGGTAGAAATTTCGTCTGATATTCGAATTAGTTTGATGACAGGACGTGTAATAACATTCAAATGTCATTTGATACTGATTAAGTGAATCATACCGTTTTGGATGTTTTGGCTAATTCTGTTGGTTTTGGTTTATTATCTAGTTTCATGACTTCAAGTGAGTTAATAAATTGATTGACTTTCATGGGGATCTGTTATTCGGCCAAGTCATTATTCTCTTTTAATGTACTGATATTCTGTCTGCCATTTTAACATTCTAAAATGAAATTATAGCAGTGGTACCAGAAGCAGAAACTAAATATATATACGAAACATAATTAAACGATGATTACCGGACGTCAGTAAGCTGACTGAAGTGCATTTATTATCAAGATGAAGCGGTGAGTGACGTGATATCTCTAATTACGTTTGTGAAATAAATCTAATTGATTCTAACAAGAGGTCAAAATCCTAAGAGAAACTTCTGATACAAAGTCCTGCAGTAAATACATTTTCGCTTTTGACTAAATAAATCTTAAGATGGAGTAAAATCTGTCTAAACTTTCATAAAATTAGTTGGTATCAGTATTTTAATGGACATGTATTGTCACTGCAGCTATCCTTACTTGTACTTCTGTGAAGCGCAAACATGTTACGTTGATTATTTCAGCAGTTAAATGAAAATTAATTGTTTAACAAATAATCAGGCTTTTCGATCATGTTATTTCTATAATCATTAACTGAATTACAATATTCATGTTTACCCTATTTTTGGATCTAGGTCAACTTTAATCTAATGAAATTTTTGATTAGCAGTTATTAAACTCTATTTTATTGTTGAAATACAGTATATTCTAAAAATCAAGTTATTTTCGCTAGAATGATTTAGTTGGAATTAGTAACGTATTCCGAACATTCTATTCTTGACGCGTACATTATTAAATGTAATTTCTTGTTGACGAATTTTTATAGACTTAATAAAACTTTAATTGATGTGCAATACTTGTTAAAAAGTATGACATAATACAATATAAGCTAAATAAATACAACAAGCGTAATGACAAACTATTTGTACATCAAATCATGTCCAAATCATATTAATAAAATGACGACGTTGCTTACTATCAACCATCAGTCAATGGATTACTCCAAGTAGAAAACGTGAGACCACTTGTCAACATTATAAGACGCTCTTAATATCAATTTGAACAAACTGTTCATGCTCCCAGTTGGTTTAAATGACTAGTTTCATTTTGATAATTTATTAGATACCAATGAAGATTGGTTTAGACTGAGCAATCGCTTGTAAATTCATTTAGAATGTAGGGGATATATTTACATAATGAAAACAAAATGAGCTAATAGGAAAATAGTCTTTAACTTTATTAAGAATAGAGGCCACCTAAATTGGAAGATTTGATAGACAATAGAACTGTTAGTTTACAAAACAGAAATAAAATATTGTATCTGTGGGAAACTTCATCTAGATTTAAGCGAAAAGTTCCACAGCAGTTAGGCGCTGAGTTAATAAAAGAGGAAATTATGTTTGTATCGTAAGCGGCTTTCTGGTAACTGGTTCGAAGTTCTACGAGTCAAGTCTTGGGTTCCCTTTATTGGTTGGCTAGATATCAAACTTAAAAAGCAAAAACGACTGATATCTGGTTAATAAATCAACTTGGATCATCTACGAATTGAATTGGCTGTATTCATAAACTGGGAATTAAAACATTTAGAACAAGCAAATGTAAACTCTATCTGTCTTTTGGATTTAATTGTTATGGGAACTGAATGCTTATGGTGCGAAATATTACTTATCTATTAACTTGGTTTTTAAAACGAAGGACAACTGGTATTTTATGTACTAATATCACAGAGATGTTCTCATCAGTCTAAGAATTGATTTTGACTGTTGGCTTTAT